ATGGGAAAGACTTCCTTGTCATCTGTTACGTAGACTCCTTCTACACCGCGCATTAAGCACGCTGCTGTCAACTTCGTTTCGTAGGAGGAGTCCAGAGATATCGAAGCAACTCTAAAAACTTTTATCACATAAGGATAGTTACAATTTTATTCAAAAATTTATTTGAGCTAAATAGATGGTTCTAGAGTTTTGTAAAAAATTATAATTTCTCCATATTATAGTATTATGAGGAAGTTTAAGGATTCTAAATGCAGAGGAACATTGATTTCTGAAAGCTATTGAAGTCTAAAAATGAAAATATTAGCAAACTAAGCTTGATCGAACTACAAAAGATTTTGGAAATCATTCTTAAGTTTTGAATGGATTCATTCACTAGTAAGCGATAATCAGTGATCTCGACTATTTAAATGAGAAGAAGACAATGTGTCTCCAATTCTAAATCCTCTTTTTTATTTGCTGAGCGATTCTCTGAAGAGAGTTATAAGTTTTCTTCTTCACATCGTCGATGTACAATCTGGTTGTCCTTCAGAGAACTGCTCAGAAGACAAAGAAGCTGGATTTGAGATCAGCGTTTTGAGAGCATTCAATGGTATACATTCAATTTGAATGACTACAACCACTATCCCTTCGCTGTTATTCAACTGGTAATGGATATTCGACCCGAGGAAAGCTGTCAGACTTTTCTACTAAAGCCCAAAACTTTGAATTTATTGATATTTTGAAAAGATGGCATCAGCATATCTACATTTTATCCTCGAACAAAATGAAAGTTTCTCATCAATTATGATAAATTTTCTGCAAAAGAAATTTTCGAAAATAAGTTTTGAAGCAGTTTTTTTAAATCTTAAATATTACTTATAGCGATATATAGTAACAAGGAGTTTGTGGAGAACGAAGATCAATTGAAGGTAGATAACATCAAATAACATTCCTCTTTTTGTGATTTTAGAAAACCTTATTATGTTAATTCTTAGCTCCAAAAAAATTGAAGATATCTTACTTTTAAAGGTAGAACTTCAACTAAGCAAATGGCGAGCTTTCTTCAAGAGCGACGATGGTTTACTATTAGGTTGAGGAATAAGTTCATAGCGTTTTTATATTTTCTTATATTTTCAACAATGGTTTGCTGTTCAACAGAAAGTATAGTAATTTTTCGTTAGAGCATTCTCTGCTCTACAAAACAGTGGTAATCTTCCTTTTGAGTAG